ATGACTTGAACCTGCATATGGGCACTTGTGACTTTCACTGCATTGGTCACAATTACTGTAATCACACAAAGAATGTTGCTCAAATAACGCTAAGGATGAAACGCTCCAGCCTTTTCTTTTAATCATAAAAGAGTATATCCTTAATAATCAATCATGCCGACAAGCCAACATTTATTTAACCTTAACATCCTCTAGAGACAGAAACTATAACCAAGCACCATCAATATGTCAAATTGATTTCCAGTAAAGCGAAACAGATAAATGGGGAGAGTTTTTTTCTTTGTTTCTTTTATGTGCTTTCAATAAACCGATGTTTTGTTAATGTATGAGACATGGCATAGTCACAAATAAGGGCATTGCAACAGTGTTGTTAACTTGTTTTAATGTAAGTTCAAAGCTACTATAATGAAGTATTTTATAATAAATAAAAACCATGTTTCATAACTTATATGCACAAACCCTTTTAAAAGTGCACCCACACACCTTATTACAGAGAAAATTCAGTATAGGACTGACTGGCAGCTTTGTTTTGTATCAGCAGACACATGAAGTATTTTAATTTAGAGAGATTGGTAAAAGGATGGGCAGATGTGATATAAATACTTTTCCCATGAGCATGAAAGGTTGCACGTAGTACTTTAGATTAGAAAAAACAAATGCAAAGCTTCTTCCTTGTTCATTCTCAGCAGTAAATAGCTATACAACCCCTCAATTTAGACGCTTGAGTGTTGTCATACATTATTGTGAATGAAACCTGAGGCATTTGAATGCTCCTGAATTATGTCATCCACATGGTGACATTTTAAATGACCTTTAAACTCGGTTTGTCTTACAATTTGGCTCGGATAAATGCATCTTTGATGAATAGAATTATAATTTTTTTATTGAAAAAAAAAAGATCTTACATACTTGTAAATGCACTGTAAAAAATATTGTTGGTTTAACTTAAAAAAGTAAGTAACCTAGTTGCCTTAAAATTTTAAGTTCATTGAAATGGAAAAATTGAGTTAATACAATGAAGGAGATTAATTTAATCACCAGAAACTCAAATAATTATTAAGTTGATTTGACAAAAGAAAAAATGTTGTGATTACAAATCATGAAAACATTTTTTTTTACAATGTGGTAAAGTATGATGGTTTTCACAATAATAAAAGAGCACAATATTGTTTTCAACAGTGATAATAAGAAATGTTTCTTGAGCTGCAAATCAGTATGAATTCTGAATAATCATGTGACACTGAAGATCATGTTTCCTTGAAAATATGTTCCAGCAAGTCTGCTTGATCAGTTGACAAAGAAGCATGTCAATATTATTCAGGAAAATTATGTTGTTGTTGTTGTTGTTTTTTTTTTAATCAAAGTAGTGTTGCAACATATATCATCGGCCTCCTGAAAGCTATTAACAAAACTATAATCATGGCAATTTTTGATCAACACAGAAAGAAAAAAAAAAAACAAGCATTGACTATTGATTATTCTTTTTTAAGTTAGTCTCATTAATGAAACAAAGGCAAACTTTATCAAATTTTTCACATCTATTTGCACATCGAATGCAAATGTGCACATCTCAGCTATTAGCTATTATGAGCAGAAGTGTCTTGATTATATTGACAAATCAACAAAATATCTTTTAGGTCATGCTCATATTTACCTGGCAAGAAAAATAAATTATATAAAATTATGCTTTAATGTACTATTACTATTTTTAAAATGACAAAAAAAATGAATTAAGCAACATAAATGGGAAAACTATTTGATCCGTATCTTAGAAATATTTTGGCAACTTTTATAAGGGACTTTCTGTAGGGTATTTTCCAAGTGGTCGTATTGTTCATCACTGCAGCTGGCTCCAGATCAAGTCTGCGGACACACATTTTCTCTCGCGTTGCCCCGGTTGAGTGGGTGGTGTACGAAAAGCACGTGTTTTGGTTCCTTCATCCGGACAGCCAAAACGTGCGCTTGGGCTCCTTTTCCAGGTGATGATGTGTGCAAGCATGAGGCATGACAAAACCTCACTGCTGATGACCTTGAGCTGATTCTGCAGAGGAGTTTTGGCGGTTCTTCAAGGCCAGTGTGACGCCAGCAGCTCCAGATCAATGTTCCAGCTGTCTGCCCTCTCATCACCCTCAGTTTGAAGAAACACCTGTGATCCCCACTTAGCCTGCCCACCCCCACAAAACCACCAGGTCATCATGGGAAAATTACTAAAGGATGACAGGCCTGAATGAACTGCTCACTTTGGTTGTTTTGATGAAAAGTCATCATCCCTTATGGGGAAAGGTACTCCTTAAACTGCCAAGACTAAGTTAGTCATCCGTTTTTCTTCTTTAAGACTGTTCATAAATGTTTTAAGTCAGGTACATCAAAATGTTGATAGGTTTTAATGTTGATAGGTTGATGGGTTTAAATGTTGATAACATTTTCAACATTTAGACAATTTATACTGTTTCTGGAACAAATAAACACTCTCAGGATGCATTACATTTAAACTCATGTTTTTGTCCTTAAATTGTTTAGATGGTGATATTTGTTACATTTTAAGTCACCATCGTGGTGATCAGTGTTTGCTTTAGTTGGGCTCTTGGTCCCAATTTTTCATACTTTCGCTTTTCTTTGGCTGTTGTAACTGTGTGTTTGCATAACATTATTGTTGTGGCCGAGAAAGCCAAGAAATTGTCAAAATGGCTGTCGTCAGCTCCTTGTTGATGATGATAAAATCAACACAAAGTGAGCATTTAATGTTGTGTTTAAACTTTAGTGTTTATATCTAGATTTTATAACCACCAATCTTTTGGAACTGCATTATTTAGGCCAGTAGCATTAAAATGATCGCTTATTTGAAGGTGGATAAAAAGCATGTGTACACAATGTTTTGAGAAAATGTACCATAGTCACACACAGACATCAAGATTTTGCATATGAGTCACAACAATGGTGACAATAATAAAAAAGCTTCATGCTGCAATGCATGGTGGACAGCTTTAATAGTACAAAACATCCTTAATTCCCAAGCTTTATTGTTTTGGTTGTCTCCGTTGTTGTGAATCATATCCAAAACCTTGATATCTGTGTGTGACTACGTGATTTACTTGCTTAAAACATTGTGTACGCATGCTTTTTTTTCACCTTAAAATAAGTGTGCATTTAAAAGGGGTGATGAACTGAGAAATCTAATTTTCCTTGAGCTTTTGACATCTAAGAGTTCATCATATTATAAGAATATCCTGTACATTTCAGAACTGAAAACATCCTTGTTAATCCAATAAAAGCTTTTATTGACACCAGGCTCAGCAAACGACTCATTTTTAAAAGTGGGGAACTATGACGTCAAAGAGGATAAAACACCACCCCCGCAGAAGAAGATCAATGCCTACTTAAACACGGCCGGTTTAGCCCCGCCCACCAATTCGTGCATTACACGCATAGCTAAATAACATAGATTCCGAAGCCTACCTCGTGATGACAAACCGGATCGAGTTACCGAGCAATACAAAATATTGTGCAGTGCCTTGTGGAAGTGGCTGCATAAGCTTCCTCTGGATTCCAATAGGAATGCAAAACTTTACTTTTCATGCATTCCAGCTGATAAGGGTAAAACCGTCTGTTCGCTTCATTTCACTGAGGATTGTTTTGTAAACAAGACTGAAATTTGCAGACCGATTAAGAGTAAAGAACAACGGTGCTGTGCTATGCAATATTTGATCTGACAGGAATGGTGCAACACACGGACTCTCTGTCTAACATGTATGGGTGAATCATTCCGGTTGCCACTTTACAACATTGGATGTTTTCAAAACAATTTCCCCCATGTGCATCGATGGGTGAGATGAAACTCATTATAACAATGCAAAACTGCTACCCACTCACAGCAGAGGGCGTTTACATCCAAGTCTTCAGTGCGAGATGCCCATAAAAACCTTGTTCTACATGATTGGTGGTTATACCAGATATAAAGACAAAAGTTTAACCACTATTAAATCCTTGCTTTGTGTTGCTTTTGTCATCATGAACAAGGAGCTGACGACAGCTGATTTATCATTTTCTTGGCTTTCTCTGCACAAACAATGGTGTTATAAAAAACACACTATTACAACAGCCAAAGAAAATCTGAAGTAAGAAGAACTGGGACCAAGAGCCCAACTAAAGCAAACACTGATCACCACAATGGTGATTTAAATTGAAACAAATATCAACATCCAAACCTCATCTAAACAATGTAAATAAACATGAGTTTTAATTTTAATGCAACCTGAGAGTGTTTATTTGGTCCAGAAACAGTATAAATTGTCTAAATGAGACCAAGTTATGTTGAAAATATGTCCACAATGGCCGTGAACTAGTTATTACAGTAAACTTGTACAAATACAGTAAATGAAAATCTAAATCAGACAGAACACGTCAAAAAAAGTTGTCATAAAAAACTTTCATTCTGGCCCCTCAGTGGACGTTTCATTTTTAAGTGAACTAACCCTTTTAACTTCATTATGGTAACCCTATTTTGTTTACAGTCTATCTATGGTTTAACATAGTGGACGGACGGACGACGGACGGACGGACGGACGGACGGATATAGATAGATTAGATAGATAGATAGATAGATAGATAGATAGATAGATAGATAGATAGATAGATAGATAGATAGATATATAAGATAGATAGATAGATAGATAGATAGATAGATAGATAGATAGATAGATAGATAGATAGATAGATGGTTTGTTTTCTTGTAAGTAATAAACTTCAGCACAGACAACAATGACGTTTAATCATTGACAAAACTGTCAAATTTCCCCACGTTTGAAGACAACATTGACGTTTCATTGCTGACAAATTATTGTCATCATAACTTAACTCACTCTTTCGCACGTGCCCGCAAGGCGCAGAGGCGTTTTTTTTTTTTTTTTTTTTTTTTTTGCTTATCAGATTTCTCTTTCACTGTCCACTCACTCAATTCACGTGAGATAAACAACACGCCCCGGCCCATGGCTTTCGGCTAGGCTATAAATGATGATGCAGGTGATGTTGAAAGGAAACAAGGAAGGATTTCTTACTGTGATCTTGCTCATCATAAACAGCAATGAGTGACCCTCGCTTTCCTGTCGATGTCCGTCTTATCGGAGTAATGAAAAAGGACAAGTACAAAGTAAGAATATTATGTGTTCGTAGGATAACTTTAAATAATGGCAACGCTATTGAATTTTAGGTATGATAACAATTGTTCGTTTGTTGATTTGTTACAGAAATACATGGTATCTGTGATATGGTCAGACCAGAGTGAGCTGATAGTGTACCGATCCCTCCAAGACTTCAAAACGCTCCATGTACGTTTTACAATCAGAATTTGGCACAAATCGTTACTAGAAGACATGAACAATTCGTTATTTATTCACATTTCTTTTCAACAGAGGCAATTAAAAAAGAAGTTTCCGGTGGAAAACCAATTTCGGAAAGAGGATAGAGTGCTACCCAGATTTGGAGGTAGGATTAACAGCTTTTTAGGTGATTAGAATGTACATAATCATTTGGTAACACTTTATTTTACAGTGTACTTGTTACATATATTACATAGGTGAAAACAGTAAAATTATTCATAATTACATGCAACTCCTCAACCAAATCCCAATCCTACCATAACCCTAGGCTATGTAGTTACTTAATATTATTCAATACTTAATTCTTACTCTGTAATGACACCTTAAAAATAAAGTGCAACCCGTTTTTTGTAACCCATTAAGCCTGACTCATAAAAGAATGCATAAAATAGTAACAAATTCCTGCATGTACAGACTTTACATATGCATGCACACATGCACAAAGCCTTTCAAATAATCATTCTTATAATCATTATAGCTATAATATTTTATGTTGGAGGGAATTGTTTTTATTTTGTTGTTCATTAAGGTTTTGTTTACAGCTCAGTGCATGATGGCATCGTTTCAGTTGAAAGCTCTGGCTAAGTCAGTGTCCCGTCTGAGAAATCTGGAGAGCTACTGTTCCAACCTGTTGCAGTGTAACACGACTGTGTCACATTCACAGAAGTCATTCAGTTTTTCCTGCAAATGAGCAGGAGCTTATGCGGAATATACCCAAAAACAGGTAGGCCATGTTGATTATTTCCTTCTGGGATATAAGTAGGTAGCTGCAGCATTCCAAGAATACGTAGACAGTGTAGCTCACTTCATATTTCTGATCTGTTTTGTTTGGCAGAGTTTAATATCCATGTCAACCTGGTGGAACGTGTGTTGTGCTGTAATTGTCTGTTAAAGCGGCTCTTTTCTCCCTGCAGTTTGATGATTCTGCATTCAAACAGCATCCCCAATGTCAACAGAGGACCCGACTTGGCAAATAAACGTCTGAGCAATGGCAATGTGACCCAGCCTTTTGTGTCCAAGACATATCGATGTGTGGCTCCGTATGAGACTAAAGATACAAAGAAACAAGCCCTTTAAAGTAGGTGTGGATGAAAGACTGGATGTGCTCATTAAAGACAAAGCAGGTATGTCTTCTCCCTTAAAGCGATACTCCACCGTTTTTTCATATTAAACTATGTTTTTTCCCTTAACTAAGA